GGCCTGGTTTGCACATTTCTACAAACTACTATACTGGATACATGTTTGTGAAAACTAGTAAGAGGGTGTCCAGCTCCTGGAGTGCTGGTATCTTTCCRGCCAGTGGCCAAGTAAACAAGGCGATGCAAAAATAGGAAGTTTATCTACATTGAGCTCTTGGAGAGACTCTTTTGCTGACAGTCCTAAAATCAGCCCTGGTGAAGATTTCTGGAGAAGTCCAGTTAAGAMTTTTCTGTGGAGAAAAGGAGTGCCACTTYGGTCACTTGGCCATTGACAACTGGCCCCGGGAGCCAGGATCTCACCTCCTCCCCACTTGCCGGAGATCTATTAGGAAGGGCYTTCTCACCTCAGGACCATGTCTGCTTCCCCATCAGTCTTATGCATTGACCCTGGTCCCATGCTCAGGACAAATCTCCACCCACTCCCTCTCCTGTCACCCCCCCGCCCCCCGAAAGTGGAGAAAGTGTCTAGTTACCCCAATTACATCAGCCGCTGAGAATCCCAGCCCTGTCTGCAGAGGTTGGCAGCCCCACACACGGGCTTCATGTGGACAACTTCATTCCACACTGAAGGAGACACGTGGCACCACTGTGCCCGAGTCACTCAGCTAACCTAGCTGACCTGTCCCCCAGCCTGCCTGGCCTAACCCCATCAGCTCCCTCCCCTCCTACAGTGCTGCTYCAGGTAATCCAACCCTTAACCTCAGAGCTGGCAGCAGCTGCATCCCAGAGGGAATGCCTGGCTCTGCTCTCAGGAGACCTTGAAATTAAACAGGCTTAAAAAAAAGAAAAGTGAACCCCACACCATGAGAGTCATGTGGTTATGAATCCAGGCAGCAGCTCGGCCCTTATTTATGGCTTCACCTGCCACGAAGCCAAAACTCCAGGGTGTCAGTAAAGAGACTGCAAGGCCAGGACATGCTCAGCTACAGAGAGGAGCCTCTCTGCAGGCCCAGGAGTCCTGGYCACCGGCAGGCACTCTGTGGGGGACGGCTTTGTCTCTGGGTAACTCCTCAGCCTCTTCTGGGGTCCCCAGTCAGGCCACAAGGGCCARCCCGTGCACTTGCCCCCTTGCTGGACTCCCTCCCTGGGCACAGGACACCTGTGACTGCATTTCTCACAGCGTTTCTCTCCCTCCTGGGCAGCTCGTTCCAATTTTGGACAGATGGTCTTCATTATGAGGACCTTGACATCGGGCTCCCTGCCATATCCCTCCACAGACTCAGGGGCCACCAGAGCAATTGTCACCTCTTTTGGGTGACAGCCTCTGACTGTTGGCTGAGGCTGACCAGGTACACCCTGAGCCTCAGCGGCTCCGGCGTCAGCAGCCCRGGTTCTTTCCGCTGTTTCCTGTGTGACCAGGTTTGGAGGGCACTGCCATGCACSTGAGTGGGCCGACTTGTCTAGACTGTTCTAACAGCACGGAGCCCAGAAAGAAACGCAGCGGCCCAGCTGTGGACTAACTGCCAGGTTCAGAGGCCTGAAGGCTGCCGTTGTAGCTGGACATTTCTGTTAAGTGCCCACACGCCCAACCCCCTGCATCATGCAGTCTGTGACGCCCCAGCGAGGGTTTAGTCCTCAGGGTCCTGTGGACAGTATAACCCAGTCTGTGTGTGTCACCTGCAGTATTTCCTCAGTGCTCCCACTTCCCCATAATTATCTGCCAATCTGTGAYGGCGAATCACACTAAGCCAGTGGCCACCGTCACTCCAGCACCCGGGGCTGGGCCTGAGCATGACACCCCCAGGTCTTTAATGTCAAACCATGAGCACAAACCATGAGTTCCGGGCTCCACCTCCCGTCTCTGCTCTCTGGGAACCCACACCATCGGCCACGGGTGGCCACCCCCACTCAGCCTCACTTCATGTTTCAGGCAACCCCTCCCTCACCCTGTAACCAGGAAAAGTTGTGACAGGGCTCAGGGTTCCCTCATCAGTCTCCACCAGCCACAGGGGCTGGTTTCAGTACTATCACTCAGGCCATCCAGTGAGAAGCAATATTGGGCAAGGAGGAAGAAGGTGTCCTTTTTCTCCTGGGATTGGTGAAGATAATATGCAAACCACAAACTAGCTCTATGTATGAAAATTCACCCTGACAGATACCAATGGAGAGAAGAAGAACAGTCCAACAGAGGGATACAGAAAGACCTGACTACCAAAACACCTTTTGAGCCCCTGGATCCAACCCTACCTGATACTTGAACTATCACTGAACTCACTAATTAGATTAACCACCAGAACTCTTTCTGCCAAAACCAGTTTAAGCTGGGTTTCTGCCATGGAGCACAAATCAAAATTCAACAACTTTCTTACAGAAAGACCATGTGACACTCTTGTCACATCCCTGCTCTCTGAGAACCCACACCATCGGCCACGGGTGGCCACCCTCCCTCAGCCTCACTTCATATGTTCAAATTGAACACCTCGTGGAGCCCCATCTATAGCATGGTTTCTTAGAAAATCTTAGACTCTTGAGTCTAAGTGGGAGTTCCTTTGTGACTGGCTTGGAGGCCTGGGGTAGATCACCAAAACTTAGGTGCCATCTGTAAAACAGGGATATTAATAGGATCTGTGAAGGGTCATTGTGAAGAAAGATTGGGGTATTCGGTCCTCACAAGGCCTGGCCCTAAGAAGAGCTCACAATACTCCCTGTTCACACTGTGGCTTCGGCACCGCCAACATTATTGTTTGGCGATTATAGTGAAAACCAGTTTGGTTACCCTGCAGAGCGGCGGTTATCCTCTTATTATACTGACTCGGGCCTAGTGGCCTCAGTGCTCTGTTGAAAGGCCTCCTCCTCGCCCTCCTGGGGAGAATGCTTCCTCCTGTCTCTTCTAAGTAGATCAATAGCCAGGTGCCCTTCCTCAGATCCCTTTGCAGAAGTTCACCATCCAATGCCCGGGCATACCCTACTCCATCTGACAACTCAGAAGACCAGTCCAGGGATGTCGCTAAGGGACTGGAGCCATAACAGGGGTGTGGCACTGGGCCCCAGCACTGGGCTGGGAATCCTGACCCTCCCTGCTGTGCTAGCACACAGCTAGCTCCCTCCACCTTGCTCCCATTCACTCTGGCGAACTCAAGGCCCATCTCAGGAAGGGAAGAGGAGCTGAGCTCCTAATTAAAAGGTAGCCTTGAGCTGTCAATAAAATTATGCATAAAAGAAATGTTTTAAAACATGGAAATGACTTCCTTGAGACATATTTTCCTTTGAATGTTTTTTTCCCTTATAATTCAAGTATGGGGGAGAGAAATATGAAGAAAATCTGCACCTCAACATTGCCACTCCTTCTCCCCCAATGCTGGGGCGCCATCTTGGAAACCCAAAACACTGCCCTGCATTTGAAATAGCTATCTGGAAAAGTGGCACGTCCTGTCTTTCCTGTGGACCTCTGGAGAGTGCCGGGGACTGTCATTTGTGTTTATCTCTTTGGGGAAGGCCACGCTTTCTCGCATCCCTGTGCTGGGCTTCTCAGGATGATGGATCATCTTTCCTCCCCAGTCGGGGCMGGACACTCCAGCAGACCTCTCCCACGGCAGCCCCGCTTCCTCTAGCAGCACACGCACCGCTGTGTGCGGCGACCATTTGTTAAGCTCCCGTCTCCTCCAGCAGCCCCGGAGTGTCCAGCACTGTTATCGCCCCATCCATCTCAGCGCGGGGTTGAATGCGGACKTCAGACAACATCAAAACGCTGAATGTGTGAAGAGATGAATGAGCAGGGGGATGGGAGAGTGGGACCCCGTCTCCTGGAAGAGCTGAGTTATGCTCCACGGTTCAACCTCCCCCACCATCAACACAGTGAGCCGTCTGACCCAAGGGTGCTGGACTCGGCGTGCCCACCGTCTGACCTCACGTTGGTGACTGTCTCCCAGCCACCTGTGCAGCCCCAGCCAGGCCCTTTCCTGGGACCAGACATTCACTCTGGCCTTCTACCAAATGCGACCTTGCCATCAGATGGCCCTGAGGCCCTTTCTAGGAGCCTCTGACAGCCAGTCTTCCCTGCCTTCCCTCCTTCCCTCTCTCTTTGTCTTCCCTTCTTACCTTCGAAGCTCCCAGCAAACAAGTAAATCCAGGTGATGGCCGGGATACAGAGCAGAGTCAAAGAGGCAGCCAGGAATTTCCGTCTCCCTCTGCAGATCCCCAGCATCCTCTCAGAAGTGGCAATCCCTAATCCCAGCGCCGTGTCTCTGTCCRGAGCATGAGGTCCTCGGCCTCCCTCATAATACTTTCTGAAAGGAAGAGCAGAGAGGGAGGGCTGAGTCCTTGGTGTGGTACCTGGACGAAATCAGCAGAGGAGAACCGTCCCACAGAGCCTGGATTAAAGAGTTCTCTGGTGGSTGACTTCCCGCTCATCTCTGTCACAAGAGATGACAGAGGTGGCTGCAGTCTATCCAAACGGAGGCAGTTAAATACGTTAATAACGGACTCCGTGAGGGCCCTCCAGAGCACGCATATGCACAGGTGCTTCTAACACAGGTTAAAGGAGCATTTAGTTGGCACCTATTACCCACCAAATACCAGCCCGGTGCTGTGCTTTCTYGGACTAGAACACAGGTGAACGTCAAAGAGCGTAGCCTAAGGAGACAGGCCAACATAAGACATAAGAATGTGACAATCAAGAATTTCACGGACCACTATGAAGAGCAGGTGCAGGTGMTGATGGATTCCTGTATGGTCAAGATGGCAGATGGTCCCTGTCACCAGGCAGAGGGACTGTCAAAGGCCCCTGAAGCAGCACTGGAGCACATGCAAAGGAAGGGAGATCAGCTGGGCCACAGCATCCACCTGCATGCACCTGGGCCCCGATCAGCGCTGAAAGTCTAAACACCAGTCAGGGGGGACGGCCTTTGTAGCTTCTACCTTTGATAAGGAAAGAAGAGCTATGTCCAGAGAAGTACGGCCATGACTAGAATGTGCAGAGCATAGACAGGAACAAAGGGATAATCTCTACCCAGCCTGTCCTTAGACCAGGGCAGAAATCTGGCCATGATGTTTTAAAACRAGAGAGGTGGTCAAGTCACATGGAGCAGAGAGCCGTGATCTTCCACCTGAATATCTGATCATAAAACCATGTGTATTACATGCAAATGGAACCCACAGGCCACAGGGTCTCATCTCCATCCACCCCTAACAGAGGTGTCACATGGCTACGGCTGGCGCATGCACCCACTTGGACTCCCTGACAGAGGAGAACCACCCACTGAGGACAGCTACAGAATACTCCCAACTCCCAAAGAACTGCTGTCTGTGAAATTGCCGCTTTGGGTGTCTGCTCCTCTATTCCTATGGGTACCCTCCTCTCTGCCACCACCTCTGGGCTCCCCTACAGTGGTCTAAAGGCACTGCCTCCTTTCCCCACCAGCCTTGGAGTTTCCAAAAGATAGGCTCTGGATATTCCCCACCCCATCCGATCCACCTTGCCCCTTAAGACTCAAGCAGACAGCCTGTCACCTGCAGACGACAGATACTCGTCTGTTAAAGGAAAAAACGGAATCAGACTCTAACCAGGGGCGACGCTCTCAAGCTTCAGGAGCTTGTGTTCAGCACGTCGCCAGCGATAAACACCTAATGGGGCCCATCTCGCCCGTCCACGCCGGGCTTTCTTCTGCAGTCAATGGGACAGAATTTTCTAAACGTCCTTCTTTTGAAACAGATAAAAGACCCCAGGGCTGGAGGGGGTGAACTAAAAAGGGAAACTAAAAAAGCAAAATCTTCTTGAACCAAGAATGTTGRCTGGAGAGAAGTCCCCCCAGGGGACTGGAGCTGGGGACAACAGACCTTGCCCACACACTCCACAAGTCACAGAGAATAAGGGCCACCAAGCTCCAAGACTGTGGGCAGAAGGAAGGGAGGGGGGCAGCGGGGAGAGGGCAGTGCCCTCAGACAGAGAGGCTCAAGTCCAGCTGCTGGCTCCACTGGCTGGCTCCGGTGGCCTTCATTTCATTCCTCTMTTAACTGAAGCAGAGCTATAGATGAATTCAGGCTTTGGGGGAATGCAGCATGGGAACCGAACTCCACGGAGTTCATAACATGGAATGTTATTAATATTTAAATAACATTTTTAAAAAATAACCCTCTAAGATACTCGTTTCCCCGCTTCCTCCATCTGCTGAAGTTAATTTCAAATTGCATGATTTGTACAGAGTTTTGAAACAGAGTCTTCGGAGGTTGGCCTTTGGCGATAACACTGGGATCTCCAATTAAACCCAGCAGGCGAAAAATCTTCCTTCGTGGATTTGACTTTCCAGTGACACCTCTGTGTACTAAAAATAGGTTTTAAGGAAAATCTCAACTGATATCAGATGCTACTCCAGGAAGTCAACACGGGAATCCACTCAAGAAGAAGGAAGGACCAGGAGGTCAGCTGAATTCCATCCCCAAAAGTGCAAATGTGGATAGGAGGAAGGCCAGCCTCCAACCAGCTGCCTCCATTGCTTCCAGGTGGACAGGAGATTCCCCCACCTGCTATCCCAGGTGACCCAGAGGCCTCGCGAAGCATTCCTGCCTCAACTCCAACATCCAACTCCCTGGCCAGCACGGTCAGTTAGAAAAATCTACCCCATCTGTCTCCTCCCCTCTGCCTTCACCAATGGAAAACGTGTATGAAGAACAGTGGAGGAACCTYGGACCTGTGAAGCCACAAGAGCAGGATTTGAAGCTCAGTGACTGACAATCACAGGTACCCCTCAGTCTAAAGTAATATTATACAGATGGGCTAATAGCTACATATTTATACATAGCAAAAAAAGGATTTACATATTGAAAGTTATCACTGGATATAGATTTTGAATAATTTCATAGTATATGAATATACATTTCCCAAATTTTATACAAGAAGCATGTGTTGCTTTTATAATTTAGAACTAAATAAAAACTTAAGTCACTATGTCTTTTATACTGCCTGCAACTCAAAATACCTGGGTGCAGACCCTGAGGTCTATCTGGATGAGCCTTAGTTTCCACCTAGGTGCAGGGAGTCAACATCTGTAGTACCCTAAATGGGAACACACCCTTGGGGGTGCGGTTTACCATTTGAAAGACTCCAGACAGAAACCCACATTCCAAGTGTCTGCTCCAGCTACTTCCCATCAACACCAGAGGCTGTCTTTTAATTAGCATCATGGATGTTAGAAGTGACTTTTTCACGGGTGTATTGTCTAGACATGCTGCACCTGAAGAGGTTGCAAATGTTGGTGGAAAAAAAAATAAATCTAAGAAATGAAATGGCCCAAACACTTCAGAATCACTTAGGATCCCAAACCCATCCTAGCTGCATACAGTAATTGAAGGAAGAGGGCCACTTATTCCTACTGAAGATCTGATGAATACTGTCACTCACACCATGTCACCCATTCCTTCTAGAAGGTACGGTAACATTGCCTAAAACCAGCTGGACCTCACTGAGGTTATAAGGAAATGGGTCCTACAGCACCAAACCCCCAACAGCTATTAGTTTCTTAATTATCGTTGTTTGCATTGTAACTATCATGACRTCACCACTGTGTGCCTTTCCCCTGGCTATCCCCTCAACCCTGGCCCTGTCTTGAATAGCTTCCTTTCTGGCCTGGGGCTGGGGACAACTTTCAAGTCCTGGCTCCTCCTCTCTGAGGAGGCCAGTCCTGGAGGCTCTGCTTCCCTGGGAGTCTAGACTCTACCTGGAGTCAGTAGCACATCCCAGATCATTTTATTGTCATCCATCCCTTTCCTGTGCAGTAGCTAAACTCTCTTCCTTAGACTTCAATCCCTTAAATGCAAAGGAGGCAGGTCTTCAGTGTTGGTGTTGAGGCCCTTCCCTAAGCCCAGCCTCTAACACCAAGGAGGGGTCACACTTGCCCACCTGTTGAGCCAACTGCACCAGCATGGCTGGGATCTTGCAGGAAACGCAGAACCTCAGGCCACACTCCCGCCCTGCTGAATCTGCACTGTTAAGAGGCCCAGGTGCTTCCTGTACACACGGATGTGGGAGAACCCTGTGCTAAAGCCCTTAGCAGCTAACTGGTTACCTCCAGGGCTCCTGAGCGCCCCCTCCTCCCAGTGCAGGGACTGCAGCTGAGCTAGAGCCCTCTCGTCCTAGATTGTGTTCACTGCATTTATCACAATGGCTTTCCGGCAAGTGGAAGCAGAGTTCCTAAAAGAAAAAGTACCATTTTCTTAACGAACAAAAGCATCCCTTGGACTAGCAGTGACTCTGACAACTCACACGGCAGCTTCCCATCAAAATCTCCTCTGATGTTTGAACCGTGAGAGAAGAGCACCAAGACCCCCCGCAGAGGCTTCCAAGCACAGGGCACTGAGCGAGATACCTGGAATGCCGGGACTCAGACTCTAGTACTGTTTTCTGTACAAACCAAGACGGCTTCTTTGGCACAGGATACCTGTTGTACCACCCCATCTCTCCAGTCGGACCTTCCGTTTCACACATTGCTGTTTTGGGTGTTACTGGCCCAGAGTCTGGCTTGCAGGAGCTGATCAGTGAACAGTTATTGGCCAGATGGACTTCAAAGTCCCCACTCCTTAATGATTCAGGGTCCTTCYCTGTCCTGGTCATGGTCATTTGGTGACTCCTGGCCACTCTCTCCTTCGTGAAGACTTTAGTTTCCACCTCCCATTCTCAGAGCTCTCTTCCCTCCATCCCAATTCCACCGTAAAACTGCCCTATTCAAAAGATTCAGCACTTCCCAGGAACAAGCCCACATCTGAGAACGTGTGATCAACAAACGCAGCAGAACATCAAAATTTTCAAATGCCATGCCCCYAGCCCCCTCTCACCCCAAGGCTGCCATCGCACACACGTTTCACCGCCATTGGGGGCCCCAATCCGCTGGCTTTCTTCAGCACTCTCCAGCCAGGTCTAGATTTTCTTTACTCTCTCTCCTTCAGCTTAGAAGCCACAGCTCGTTATGAGTGAGCCACAGCCTCCCTCCGCAGGCTCTCAGGCCTCTCCCACCCCTCCCCCTTTCCTGGAAAAATCCAAAGCTCCAGAAGAATGCCACCATGCTTGTTCCCCATGGCTTTACCTTGGAAGCCAAATCAGGTGGGCCATCTCACCACAGGGCAGGAAGATCTGTCCCCTTGAGCCACTTCTGATTTCAAAGGAACAGTCAACTGCTCAGACATGCACTATCTTTCTGTGGTATCTGAGTTTCTGACCTCTGAGATATTTATTTCATACATCTTGTAAATTCCAAGAATGTTCCAGGATCAGGTAGGAGGGCCACGCCTTCCTTGT